CTGTTGAATAGGGGGTAGGCCAGTACAATTTGCTTTATCTGTTTTTCTGAATACAAATGTTCAAGAATAGGGAAATGTTCAAAATGACTTTGAGTGTTTTCAGGATTTCAATCCAAGCTCGGATTCAGCACAGTGGCTCTGCACACTTCAGACAGGATGGGTTGGATCCAGCTGCTTTTCTGTTGGGTTCTGAATGGAACTCTGAGCAGAGTTCTGTTGAGAATGCTTCCATCAGCAGATGGGGGCAAGCACACTTTGCCAGTTCCTCTCCAGCTCTGCAGTTTCCAGCATCTCCCACCATATTCTGGAGGGTCTTTTTGGGGGGCTAGGAAACTGCAAATGGAGGGGTAGTTGCTGAAGATCACCTTCTCCCACTTTGTGGGAAATGATCCATGGATGGAAGGACCCCTCAGTTTGGGAGGAAGACCCTGGTTGGCAGGTGTCATGAATCAGTAGCCCACACAGAGTTCTGATTTCTAGCTAGAGCGTTCTCTACAACCCTAGGTGAAGTAAATGACATATACAGGATGGGTGATCAAGTAGTCAACTCAGGTAGCATCACTCCAGATAATGGATTGTTCAAGCATGACCTGGGCCACCCATGCAGCCAAGTGGGGTGCTTGAATCTTGCATTGCAACAGCGTACCAATCCATGAGGGTGGGGGCATTTTGAGCGTGGATAGAAAAACAGCTCAGTGGAGGGACAGTTCTAACCAAACCTCCTTCCTGCTGTGCAGGTTCTCTAACTGCAGGAAGGAGATTATTCAAAAATATGGTTTCCCCACACCGTCACTCTCGGTTGGCACAGGTCCCTCTACCACTTTGGTCATTTCCCATTATTGCGCCCATGTAGGCTAAACCATCGATGGTGCAGACCTCAAACTAACGTTATACCACTCTGTCCACCAATCCAAGCATTGTTTCTTACATGTCCAGTTTAGCACTGAATCATGCAAGCAGCAGACAGGAGTCTGCCACGGGGACTTATCCCTCAGGAGACGCCACTGCTGGCCATGTCCGAAACAGATGTTTGTGCGGACCTCTTCCTTGCCACGCTCTCCTCCATCTGTATCTCTGTTTGAAATAACAGGCATGTAATCACCACACTGTGATTTTTTTTCCTGAGGAATCTTACCTCCTCCTTTTGCTTTTGCTGAATGTTTCCCCAGACTTCCAGTACTTTCAGACAGAATTTGTGCATTAATGTTTTATTTATTTGTTTCCTCCTACACTAAATTTTCCTTTTGCTCTTAACGTAAGTAACCTCTTGTGAATATATACGTGTGTGTGCGTGTGTGTGTGTTTATCCAACTTAATAATGGAGTCAATAAAGAATGGCATTGGTCCTCAGCTCCTCCCTTTCTCTACTGTCAATGCCCTCTTTTCTCTCTGGGGTTCATATTTATACTTCATTACGATGTATATTCTAACACCATATGTCTCCTGTCTGCTAAGCCTTACTGAGCTCTATGTCTAGCTGGTAGCATTTGTTGTAATATTTGCATGCATTTATTATGTGCTCTGTTTATTAATTCTCAGGGCTGCATGTTTTATCTCTGGGTTTAGAAAAAGAGTATATTGTAATGCTTCCACATGATAACATAAAAATCTCTCAAAGCAAGTTTTTGCTAACCTGAACAAAGGCCTGACATGTCATAATAAAGTCATAGACGTTTTTTCCCTAAAATTGTAGATGCAGTTGAAGGATTCATTATTGGGTGCTAGGAAAAAGAATAGGGCTCCCACTTGCTTCTTCTCTTGCTGAACACCAGTACTAGTTTTTAAGGCACTTCTGTCTTTGTGTCAGTTATCAACATACTAATTATGACTGCTTTGTTCTTATCCTCTATTATTTATTTATTTAGGAAACTTCTATGCTGCCCCATTCGCCGAAGCCTCGGGGCGGCTCACAACAATAAATAACAACAATAACAATATAAAAACAATATAATTGGAGCCGTCCTTGCCAAAGATGTAAAATCAATAAATAATATTAACAATTAAAATGACGTTTAAATAAAAAGGTCTTCGCCTGGCGCTGAAAAACAAATAACAACGGCACCAGGCGGACCTCTCTGGGGAGCGCATTCCATAGATTGGGCGCCACTGCAGAGAAAGCCCTCCTCCGGGTACTTACCCTCCTAATATCCTTCACGGAGGGTTCCCGGAGAAGTGCCTCTCCCACTGATCTCAAGGGGCGGGCAGGCACTTATGGACGTAAGCGCTCCTTTAGGTAACCAGGACCCAAGCTGTTAAGGGCTTTATAGGTCATAACCAATACCTTGAATTGGGCCCGGACTTCAATGTAGAGCCAGTGAAGCTGACAGAGGACTGGAGTCATGTGAACATAACGTCCAGTCCCCGTCAGCAGCCTGGCAGCTCTGTTTTGAACCAATTTGAAGTATCCAGACTGTCTTCAAGGGCAGCCCCATGTAGAGCGCATTACAGAAGTCTAGCCGGGAAGTCACCATTATCCATGATTGAGACAAATTAGGGTGCAATCCTATAGTTGCTGGATGCTGTCTATCAAGACTTTGGAATCTAGCTGTAGTCTTGGAAATTTTCTGTATAGCTGGAGCCATTTCCAAAGCTGGAACACTCTTCCTCTTCCCTCGCTGGCATGAAAAGAACCTTAGCAGTTGCAGCGCTGAGTTTACTGGGAAGGGGACGAGACAGGCTGTACTAGCATGTGTAGTATCTTAGTGGCATCTCAGCTTCCCTTCCTCACACTTCTGGTCAAAAGACTTAGATGGCTGAAATCAGCCATCTAAATGGCTTGGCAGGGCAATAGAAGCCTAGATATGAACTTCACTTCCAACATCCCTTTCATTCTCCATCCTCTGACTTTGGTTATATTGCACTGTGGTGTTAAGCCCTTTAAAAATTGATTAGCTTTGATGTGAGATATTTATGCTTCCTGTTGGAATCAATGAGACTGAATGTTGTTTATTTTGAATTCATTGGTATAAACTTACTAAATGCCTAAAATTTAGTAGGTGCCATTCGATAAGTTTTTGCTATAATATTCATTTATTATCCCTCTCAATAGCTATAGCTCTCTGGCCAACAGGCAACATAAGAAGTACAATAAAACTGCAGTATAAATACAAACAATAAGACATAAAAGTTACATTAAAAATGAGAAGCACATTTAAAGCACATTTTTACAACTAAGTAGCTGAAACCAGTCCATGGTGCTAGGTCTGCAAAAAAACAGCTCGTAACACTCTTCCCCACTCTGCCCAATCCCCATATGCTACATGGAGGTGGTAAATGTCTCCACAAATGCCTCTTAACCTGGTGTCAAAAATATGATAAAGTTGGTGCCAGGGAAACCTGAGTAGGGAGATCACTCTGTAATAATATTAATAATGATGACACCAAGGGAGATTAGTAAGCCAGGGTGACGAGCTAAGGGGAAAGGGGACATTGTTATTTCTACGTTATCCAAACTGTTTTCACACAACTGCAACTTAAATGTCAGAATGTCCTGGCTGGCGTGCCATCTAACCTGGCTACAGATAGGAATCCAGTAGTTACAGATTTTTGAGTTTTCAAGTCATGCTCCCCACGGCAACATGAAGTACCCATTGACTGGGTTGGCGTGAGAAGCCGACACATTATGGGTTATTCCTCACAGTTAGGTTGTTGCAGTGTGCAAAGCCAGACCCGTTTCCCCAGGGTGGCTCAATTGTGGGCAACAAGCCAAGTCAACAGCCCATGGCAAGAGTGGCTTAATGCGCTTGTTGCTTCCCCAGTATGTCACCATTTTTCTTGGGAAATTCACTTTTGACAGCTTTGACTTTTGAGTGGGCAGTGGGGAGGCATTGTTATTTTATTATTATTTATTTCATTTCTACACTGCCCCGTAGCCAAAGCTGTCTGGATGGTTTACAACAGTTCATAAAAGCAGTACAATAAAATACTATAAAATATTTCCAAACTACAAAAACTTAAAAGCAAAATTAGAAACAGCTAAAATAACATACAGTGACTATCCCTGTAAAATGCCTGGGATAGCCAGTCCCCTCAGGCCCTTGAACATTTTTGAAGGCCTCTGTATAAGGGCCTTCTCAGTCTGATGCTGATATGGTTGGTGCCAGGCAGGGCTCATTGGGACAGATATTGTAGTTACCCTTTCAACCCTTCCCTCTATTTAAAAGCTGTCAAAAGTCCTAGAAAAAGGGGAGCATGTTTTTGTACCTTCCCAAGTACAGATGTTCAGAAAAAGGCACAAAATTGATTGAGGGTGGGGCGGAAGCTGAGGCTCATGCTGCATACAAGGGACGAATCCCAAAATACCGCTCTTTTATGTGCAGCAGTCCCTTATATCTTTGATTTCACCTGCTAGCTCATCTTTGGATAGTTGTCAAAAGGGGGTGGGGACAACTTTGGATCTTCTTTTGGGGCATATCCAAGGGTGGTACCTGCTGCACCTTCGTAGCAGGCACCTTCTGGAAAGTGGCCAAGCTAAGGCTCCCAATCCCTGTGTTGGTGCAACTGCAAGGGTTCACAGTTGTGTAAGTGTGGCTAAGTCATTTTTAAAAATAGAAGCTTTTTGGACCTTTAAAGGTTCTCAGAGCTATGGACAGCCCTTCCAAGGTGTTAACTTGGGCACTTTGAAGGTTCTGTTTTTGCCTGTCAAAACATGAATTGCAAAAGCTGGCTTCTTTTTTGTGGGGTGGGGTGGGAAGTAAAGAGAAAAAGCTGTGGTGAACTGGAAAGAGTTTGCAATGGCAGCAGGGAGGGGGAGGTAATTTGGTTATCCTAAGGTGTGTCCTGGGCTACCCACAACAGGGCTGGAGGCCAAAAGTGCACAGTGAGCTCTACTGTCTGTCAGGCTCATCATGGGTTGTTTGCATGACAACCAACCCCAACATGGCTTATCGTCAGGGTGGGTTAGTGTGATGTGCAATTGCACCCATTAAGGGGAAGATATGGGTAATGGCAAGAACATAGGAACAAACTGTATAGCTAACCATTGACATTGTGACCAATAGTGAGGGGAACACAACAGTATGGCCAAAATTCCGTTGTGATGGTCGATGAGATTATTTGTTCCAGTCCTCCAAAATACCGCTTTCCTGAAGCTGGCTTGCGAATAATGATTACAAACAAATTTGGGCCAAGGACCAGGCTACGGATGGCAAGCAGGCTAATTATTAATGAGGTAAGAAAGTCATCAACGGAGAAAATAGTTAAAGTGTTGAGTAAGTTACACAATCACATTATTCTTTCAGTTCCATTAAATACTGTGGTAGATTGTTTATGCAGTGACCAAACTGCATGGTGCTTTGCAGAATATTGTTTTTCCAAAAGTCATTGCCCAAAGGAATTTACAGTCTATTTTTTACACTGAGGAGAGAATAGGAAAGAGGAGACATAGGTAAGTTCAGGATAAGAGGAGATGAATGTATGCCAGTTGTTACAGTTGTATTTAATTGAGTTGAATCCAGAATAATTGACATTTAGCATATACCCACTGAAATCAAACTTAATTTAACTGAAATATAATATAAGTCTCATAGATTTTAGTAGGTCTGCTTTGCATGTGAGTAAGTTTGGATCCAATCCAGTGGGCTAGTTCACATGTCACAATAAGGCACCCTGAATATAAAGTACGGTGGGTTGTTTACTCGCTAACCCAACTTATCTCTGACAATTGGATGGTCTGAGGCTTGTTACGGCTTGCCTCTTTCTTCGTCTTCCTACCTACTCCTGTCACTTGTCCCACGAGCCCTTGTGGCACAGCTTCAAGCAGCCTACTCTAATGAGTACAAATGCACTTGTGTAGAGTAGAATATATTTTGTGGACTTGGTTTCCATCTTCAAAGAGTTTTGGCAATATTTAGCATTATTTTTCTTTCCCAGCTTCTGGGAGATTTATGCATAGTTAGCTTTATTTATCTATTTTACTTTTTAGGGAGATTTTGCAAGTTTGCTGAAGTGCAATAAATACTAAAACTTAACATTAACTATGTACACATCTCCCAAATGTGAAAAATAGTGTTACATTTGTGCACATTTCTCTGAACGTGAGAAAAATGGTATTGCTGTTTATAGAGGTGACAAAGTGATGAGTAAATCAACTAGTGTCATTTCAAGATGTAACAGAGAGGGGAATCTGTCATGCCATCATGAAGCACAACCACATTTTCCTGCTACTCTTGCCTGCTGGCTCTGTGGACTTTTTCTCACAAGTCACACACAAGGAACCATGCCAGTCCTGCATGTTGCAATGAACTGCTGAAGCAAACAAACCGAGAAGCCATAGGTGGCTTGTGCCCACTTTACAAACAGCTGAGGAATTGCTCTGCGTTTAGAAGTCTGAGCAAGCAATATTGAAATGAACAAGGCTGACAACTCATTGTCATGTCACGTGAACGATGTCAGTGTTTGAAGTACTTCTTTACAGCTACAATACAGCCGAAGGCATGGCTGACAGAGAGTCAAACAATGAGAGGTACACACAAATGTACGCAGAGAGATTCATCAGCAACAGGAAGCCTTCATATATATGACAAGTGTGTACTAATGATACAAATTAAGCACCCTGTTAAGGTAGACAGAGATCAGATTAAGTCAACCCACGTGCTCTTTTTGTAGGAGACAGAGGATTCCATCCCACAGATACATTTTATTCTGCATTGCATGTGTCCCTCCAGATATTGTTGGACTGCAGCTCCCATTTCCTCCACATCTGGAGAGCATCACATTCCCCATCCCAGCTCTATTGGAATATGTCACTCTGTACTGAGTTATGTTTGATGTCAAGATCTTAAAGAGGGATAATGTTGATAGAAAGAACTAACCCCATGCCTGGAAGTATTTGAATATGAAAGAGAGACTCCTAAGTATAGAATCTATGACATGGGTGAATGTAAACAGCTAACTGGTGGAAGTTAAAAAGTGAATTGTTCAAAAATGCCTTGGGAAAAATATATGCCAAAGTTAAAGATGCAAACATAATTAAAATATAGGGAAACTCTCCAGGAATTTCCACAGTATTCATTGGGTTTGATTAATGTCTTCTAGCGCCAACGACTAATTCATTCTGCTAATGGCAAGCTGATCCAGAATGGGAAACATGAGAATATTGAAAATGGGGCCATCCATGTTGATAACCAAGAAGAGGAGAATGAACATACCAACCTGTCACCATTTTCTCTACCAGGTAAATCTGAAAGGCAAAATATGCAGTGAATAGGATAGCAACATTGCTTTACTATGGTCTCAGTCACCAATACTACCCTCTGTTCAGACAGATTGCTGGGTTGCAGCTCTACCCCTGTATATACAAGGTCCCCTTTCTCTATTCTGTCTTGCATGGTCTAGTCTGCTGGGACCAGCATATTAAGTACATTCAAGTTGCCTATTGTTTGGAAGTTCCCAGCATGAGTGATCTCATCCAGATCTGATATCCCAGGCAAGTACCCCATTTCTGCATAGGTGGAATTGCACACATGTATGGAATTGTCTGCCAGCCATGGTATTCAACTGAATGAGAATTTGTGCTGCTTCTTGGTTTCATATCCATGGATGACACCATTGCAAGGGTAATATGATGTTTTACTATGTTCTCCATCTTTCCACCAAAAATGGCATTCATGCCAGGAAAGGATAGTTCAAGTATATTCAACAGTATTGTGGATATTTTAAGCTAATCTCACTATGCATTTGGGCTCAAGGAAACACCATAGGGCATGGATAGCCCATAGTTATCCAGAATAGATAGGAAAATGTTTTTTCTTTCTCTTTCAAACTGTTAGAATACCAGGTCATCTGATGAATCAAAATGGTAGAAGACTCAAAATGTCTACCAGCTGGGACAGCTTTAAAATGACTAGAGTAGAAAATCCATGGAGGATAAGACTATATATCACTTCTAGTTTTCATAGTTAGATATTACTTGCAGTTTTGGGGACAGTGCATTTTTTATTATCTGTTGCTGGGGAAACACAAGGAAGAGAATGCTTAGTTGTGGGTTTCCCATGGACATATGCTAGAGTAGCTGGGTCATTCTTTTCTTAATTGGAAGTTCTGGATTTCCCCTTCCTATTTCATTCTGGCTTTCCAAAATAGTCTTAATATGCCCTGCAGCAAAAAAATGAGTGGAGGAATGATTGATTCCAGCAATATGAGATGAAATTTTGGGTGGACTTAGCAGTGTTTAAGAAAGTCACTTAGAAGAAGGAATTGACAGAGACAATTGATTTTAAGACAGTGAAAGTCAGTTGAATTAGAGGCATTAATGAACTCCAGGTCAAAGAAACAGGGATGATGGTGTAAAAGGTCAGGAATACTGTTAAAGAGGGGAGCAAGTTAGTGTAGGTCAGTGGTGCACTTAAGTAATTTTAGAGTCGGTATTTTACAGTCAGAGCTCTTCAAATAGAAACTTGAATTATTTCTCTTACTTCTCCTAGCAAGCCCTGCTGCTCCAATTCATTCCACTGGATAGATACCCTATATATTTGCTTAAACCCCTTACCCTAATATAAATCAGTATAACCACTGGATTATGTTATTAAATAGAACCAGTATTTCTGTTTATTCTTTATCAAATTACTATGTGTCCCCAATGCTATGTTCTATAAATGAAGATAACTTGTTTACTCTTATAACTAGCTGTTTTCTAGTCTGGGTGAATTCTAAGACAACCTGTGTCACCTGATGAGATGGTTTTGAATTATCCAGCAAAGAATACAAAAGGGAGGATCCTACTACGGGGGTGGCAGGTGACATCAGTGCTTCTGCTAATAAAGTAGTGCCAGCAGTTTGTCACTGCAGTAGTTCACTCCACTCCACTGCTGGGAGTTTCATAGAGGTATTATTTTCATTGTCATAAAATACAAGGTTATGCAGCAGGGACTGCTTGCTCTTCCCACAGTAATCTAGCTGTTTAATTTAATAGTGCAGAACAAGACTTTTGAGAGAAGAATCATAGCAACTAACAAAATAAAAATAGTGTGTTTTTCTGGTTGGGGTCACACAACATGACAAACAACCCTACATGGTTACCACAGCTTGTGGGGTTTTTTTAACCATGATTTGCCTAACAGACCATCAAATGGTTTCTATGTTATCATGATTTCCATTAGGGTTGGGATGGACCCTTTCAGAAACAGCTCTCTAGCATCTGTGGATTTCTCTTGTGCTCAGACCTGTCCTGCAAAGCAACCTGAGCCAAGAGGAAGTCCACCAGTGCTTGTAGACCTCCAGTTGCATAACTGGCAACCTTCCCCACCTTTAGCAGTGGCGGGTGCAGGAGAAGGGTGCTATGAACAGGTGCTCTAGGTGCCATCCCCAGCAACTAATTCCTTCCCTGCCCACTGCTGCCACCAGGAGCCACTGCAGAAGTGGGGCACTGCTTGTGCAGCATGTGGGACTCAATTCCTGGCAAGTACACTGTGAACTCAGATTGATTGATTGAAGATTTGATAGGCTTCTGAATAACCCGAAAGGGCTCTCTAAGCAGTGTACAACAATAGAATACAAGACAAAACATTATAATTCCTAGTAATATTTTTTTATAAAACTAACTGATGGTAGTGCATGAGATTTTAAAGCAATCAGTTATTAGAACCACATTTCAAAATGTCTACGAAAAAGGACATTCTTCACCTGGCACCAAAAGGAAAATAGAGACGGTGCTTGGTGGAGCTCTCTAGCAAGCCCATTTCAAAGGTGGTGGGCGTCCACTGAGAAGGCTCTTGCTTCCTTTAGGGATGGCTCTTTCAGAAGGACCTCATGCCCAGATCTCAATGGGCAGGTAGGAGTATATGGGAAAAGGCAGTCCTTCAAGTAACCTGGTCCCAAGCTATTTAGGGCCTTGTATGTTAAAACAAGCAACTTGAATTGGGCCCAGGCTTCAACTGGCAATCAGCCCTACATAACACACATTAATCAAGATTCTGGGCCTCTGCAAAGCGGGGAGCCAAGCCCAAGGACTCTGATGGATTCTCATCCCCAAACAAATTCCTTCCAAATCCCTGGTCCTCCTGATGGTGCTGTGCATCAAGGAAACTGGGAAATTCAATCCCAAGGTGCATCACTCCCTGCTTGTGTTGCTTCCTTCTTCCTCATTGGTTCACACATAGAGGTCAGATGGTTGCAGATGCTCCTGCAGTTGGTGCTCTTTCCAGGAGATTCCATGGAAATCTCCAGGGTCATACTAGCACCATGGAATCTATTATCCTGGGTTCAGACAACATGAGAAGCCATGGAAATTTCAGCTAACAGTCCCGCTGCCACTCTCCTCTCACTGTAAAACAGGGGTCACAATCCACTTGGAAGCTTTCCTGCCCAAGTTCCATTGAAGCAAATGATAGCTGCTCAAAAGTAGAATGTCTGCTCTTTCCATGGAACCTGACTATCTCACTGAGTGGTGGCCATTCAAATCTTATGTCAAATCTTTCTTGTAGTCCTTCATGGAATACCACTCTTGCTGCTTGAGCTATTGCTTCTTATGTAGGGTCACCTCTGGCTGTAAACTCTTAGCAACCGCCAGAACAAACAACAGCCATGCAGCAGCATGAAGAAGAGACAAAACATTTTAAGGAACTTTATGACTGAATGTTATTGCCTTCAACCATTTAAAACCAATCTGTGGTTTTGGCTATTGGTTCAGTTGTGATTCAAACCATATCCCGTTTGTTATGTTTCACTGGAAAATGTATTGCCTTTAGTCTGCATTCAGCAAGTAATTCAACTGCAGCTTTCCCCAATCTGTTGCCCTCCAGGCGTTTTGGACTTCTCCTCTCAACATCCTTAGCCTACCTGGCCAATGCTCAGGAGAGTTGGGAGTTGTCATTCAAAGGGACCAATTTGGAGAAGATGACCAGTACCTGGCTCTTCTGTCCACCCCAAATTTTAGATAGCTTTATAACCCCAAAGGGGTTTTTCGGTAATGTGACTAACCTTATAAATAGATTAGAGTGTCCTACATCTAAGCCTTTTTAATAGAATATATAATACTTTGAATTAGGGACTGAGCTGTTGGTTATGCTGGTGGCATAATCTGAATTTAGTTACTCAGCACTTTTAAAAAAGTGAACATCCCTTAGGACAGTTTTTGCATGGTTGACCGCATTGGATAGTTTTGCTTCAGACTACAAAAGAGTAATAGCTAGATTAAGAATTCAGAAGGTTACGTAAAAGCTGTGGAGACCCATGGCTTAAAATGACTAGTTATTTTTATTAATATTTTTAGCAGTTGATGCTCTTCTGTTGACCTTTTTAATATTCCATATATGCACACTCATCTGAACTGGTAGACTAGTTGGAAGGGATCTATGTCTCTATGTTTGAAACAGGAATTACCACCACAAGATGTTGGGGCTGACCCTGAAACTTCTGCATGCAAAGTGCATGTTGTACCCCGGAGCTGCGGCACTTGGCTAAATAGTTAAGAATCAGTTGCTTGATCAAACAGGCAAAGCATATCTTTGATTACGGCAAGTACTGTTCTTTGTTAAAATAAAGGTTCTGCTTTCTTAAAAATAAATAGGAAGTGTTTGGGGTTTGAAGAGAAAATGGATGGTAGAATGTCTCTTTAGATACTTTTGTTGTTTCCTGGAAAGTGACCTAGCCTGCTTTCATGGAAAACTCTGCACCAGTTTTTAATGTATCCTTAGCCTCAGTTTCTAAATGTAACCAAAACAGGCTTCTCCGTCACATATTATTAATTTGAGGAAAAGAGAAAGCTATTCTACTGTTCACTAAGGAGTCTGTATGGCTTAGGTGCAAAATTTGGCATCTGGCATGGAATCCAACATTCTGGGGTTTCAGTGTTTGGGGACTGCTTGGGATTTTTTAAATGCAAAAGTCTAGGTTGTCTGGTTTCTTGATTTAGTTAGTTGACAGCTTATGTGTGAATTCTCATAAGAAAGGGAGGTACTGCAAAGAGCAATTATCCTTCCGGGCATCTAATTGTGAACATGTGCTCCATTGTGGAACATGTGCTCCATTATGGCTGCGTGAGCATCATGGAGGATCCTTGGATAGTGCCCTTAACATTACTGGTACTTGGTGTTGAATATTTGTTAGATGTATACTCTGCCTTTCTTCCAAAGAGCCCAAGGCAGCATCCATAGTCCTCCTCCTCTCCATTTTATCCTTACAACAACCCTGTGAAGTAGATGATACTGAGAGTCAGTGACTAGTCCACAGTCAGCT